CCTGTCGTGAATGGAAGGCTTGCTCCGTGATAGTCATGTAGCCGAGTTGCTACGTCGCGACGTTGCCACGATACTCACGACTCGGCGTCGCATCCGTTTGAAGGTGCGGATGAGAGTAGATGAGGTCAAAACTACAGTCCAAATGATAATCTCTTGATGAGATGGTTGACGGACACACCGGACGATGTAGGACGACAGAAAAATGCTGTCACTTGTGTGTGCTAATTGTCGCTGAGTGCTGCCATGAGACAAAAATGGGTCCTTACAATCGTGACAACAGTAGTACAATTTGGCTGTGATTAAGTCAGCAGGAATGAATTCCTCTTATCATTTATTTCTCACACTTTTACACGCATAACAACCGTTTATATGTATTTATTAATAGCGTTATGCTATTCGCCTTTTTGTAATTGTGCTCTCCATACAGTCAGTTGAAAAAGATGGAATTAATATTTGCTTCGTATCAGCTTTCTATCGACATGTTCTCGTGGCAACATTACCGTTCAACTGTACGGCTGTGGGCGTCAGTGTGTATGTAAGAATGACTGATAATCTCGATAGCTAGTCACATCGACAATAAGCACTTTCCTCGTTTGCAATGGCAAATGTACATTTGCCTAACCTGCATTCCCGCCATAAAATATGAATTCGGAAGGGTCTGGCTTGCCTTGAATGTCGCATCTGTCCTGTGGTCTATTCGTCTCCACGACCATGTGGCGGGTTCGAGTGATAGACGTCGCCATGGTACATAAAACGCGGAGTCGAATTCCGCTAGGGTGAGCTGATCAAGTGAGAGAGCCTGGTTGTAAGAACAACTAAACTCTCTGTCTTTACATCACCGTAATAAACCTAAGTTGACTAAGATAATATATGAAGACCAAGATGTTGTGGCCTCTGTTATGGTCGCAGTTTCTTTTCCATTTATAAACGTGGGTTGACCTCGTTGTCGCAACTTGGTATTGTTGTCAGGGGGACTATGTAGAACGCACCTAGTCCGAAATCGTCTGCCATAGTAGTTGTTGTGATTCCCAGCATCTGGCAGTGGA